CAATGCTTTGAGTCATTCCCCAATTTGGGATCAATAAAGTCAATCTATGTAGCTATACAGATGAGACACCATTAAACACAATATGACAAAAACAGAGCTCTATATGGCTGTAAAAGTAGTCAGACAGTGTTGTCGTATATGAGTGGGCACCGGGAAGAGTGAGTCACGCCTGAGACACAAGTGGGCTTCAACTGACGGCAGCAACCAGAAATGTAGGTACTGTAAGATAGATGTTACTTAAAGTGGACCTATCATGCTATATTTGAATAATATAGTGTAGGACCATACCTATATAAGGCATATGTATACTTTTTATTTTTCAAAATACCAAACAGATCAGAGACAAAGAGATTTGAGTATGGACGAAAATAGAGAGGGTTCCCTGGACCACCGGGGAGTGGACACATATTCATGTATAAAAGACGTACAAAAGTGCATTTTGCATGATAGGTCACCTTTAAGAAAGAAAATGGAATAACCATAGCACTAATCCTGGTGGCATTCTGCGTTCTTTTCACAAACCTAGTTTCCATTAAAAATCAGTTTGCATTAAACAAATTCCCATTGAAACTACTTCTGTGTCAGTAGCTAAATTAATAATCTGGTGGGTTGCATTTCAAGGGGCTTTCCTGTAGTGTGTTGTATAGGTTTGTGTGCATGTAATACAGAGACACTACATACTGATATACACCTGAACATCAGCAGGAGAGGACTCTTTAAAGTAGAGACACTACATACTGATATACACCTGAACATCAGCAGGAGAGGACTCTTTAAAGTAGAGACACTACATACTGATATACACCTGAACATCAGCAGGAGAGGACTCTTTAAAGTAGAGACACTACATACTGATATGAAACCTGAAAATGAGCATAAAATGGCCGCTTTAACATTCAAACCTTACTGTCCACTGTAAACACATTATAGGAGTGTTGATGGTGTTTCCGTTGGTCCTTTTACATTCAAAATAACGCGGATGATGTTTAACAGATAAAAAAAACCGGGAGAACACTACATGCCTTCAGGTCCAGAACGCCACTCAAACAAACTGTTATAGAACAAGTGAGAGGCCTATAATTGCAATGCAGGAAAGCTCAGCGGCGACAAAATGACACGGCAATTAGAAAAAGCTCAGAGTGTAATTAAGCTTGACAATGTGCCCAAATATTCCCACTGCAGTCTTTTCACGAGGTCAACGACAGTGCACAGTAATTGTCGACGAGTAATGAGGAAATAATGTAGAGTCAATCAGCGAGAGAGAACTACCTGATGCAGGGATTTAAGTCAGAGGCTGAATCTACATAACCAAAACTATATTTATTGAAAGTAGTAAATCTGCATCTCTAGGCTGGCCTGCTTTGTTTCCTCCCAAAGCCTCATTTATCATCCTGCACCCCAGTTACACAGCGCAGCACTGCAGAGAGCTGCAAGAACAGGCGATTTATCAAAAGGTCATTTTACAAAAATATGTTTCTGAACATCTGCATAAAATATAAGTCGATGGTAGAACCCTAATTGTCTCTTCTGAAATGTTTCCTTTCTCGTTATCAGTGACTTTCTTCTTAGTTGTGCATCTATTTTCAAATGTTGCATAGCTCACGTCCAACTCGTTTAGTGCACCGGGGAATCGTGCACCGACTTGTCTCTGCACACCTTAAAGAATGTGGTGAAGAGGGAGGTAGCAAAGAGAGAGGGAGAAATTACTGAAATACATTTCGCCTCCTCCAGCCACAGAGAAGAGGCAACGTGGCCCAGTCTCCACACAGCCGCATGCCTCGACAGCACACCTCTTTATATGGGAGGAGGAGGAGGAGGAGGAGGAGAGGGGGCAGGTATGAGGAAGAGAGGCAGGAAAAGACACCCCCCCGGCTGAGGATGATGCTTCATTCAGCCTGCAGCAGGTCACGACTTTTAAAACCACTTTATGGGCTCGAGGTGAGGGAACTGGTGTGTAAAACTCCGGCTGAGAAGCAGAGCCCTTCTGTAGGATCCAGGTTAATTGACATTTCCAAATGCAAGATAAGTATTGAGGGACTTCAGCGTCAGAGTTTCCCATCCACCCGAAAACACTATTAAACCATACAGAAGCTACATTACGTTGAACTATTTCCACCTTGATATTTTATCATATTTTGTGGCCACAATGAGTAGCACTGTTAATAGCAGCAGCAAATACTAATCTGTCACTAAATGAACATAGGGTGCATCACTAATTAAACTTTGCGTTCAGCATGTTTTTTTAGACCTAAAGGATAATCACAAAGTGTTTTGGTAACACTCGATGATATAACAGTTTGATGGTTTTGTAAAATTGCTTTTAAGAGTACCTTAAAGAAGTTGTATCATTAAGAAGTATGCATAATTATGAAGCGTGGTTTTCTAAATCTGGTCTTTAAACCTTCTACTCTTTGGGGCAAATATTTGGTGAGAGTATCAAATCAAGTTTTATTTATATAGCACATTTTTAAAAACGATTTTTGGTCGAGCCAAAGTGCTGTACATACAATAAAAATACTTTACAATAAATACAACAGCACAGTTTGTTCAGAATATCAGTATGAGAAAACGACACCCTCTGTCCTTAGACCCTCACATCGTACAAGGAAACACTTCCAGAGAAAAACCCACAGTTTAAAGGGGAACATGGGAGAGAAATGGGAGAGACCTCAGAGAGAGTATCCATGTATTATATTTGATTATGTATCACACATAGAAACAGGGATATACTGTAAGTATAAATAACAGAGGAGTAAAGTAAGAACAGGCAAGAGTTGTGAAAGCTCTCATCTAATCCTGTCACAATTTGACAAAATAAAAAACTCTGTCCAAAGACTTTTCTCAATAACTAATATTGTAGGACTGAGGAAGTGAGCTCGTGAGGAAGTGAGCTCGTGGGCAAGTGGATAAGGAGCCCTTTAGAAAGTAACCTCACATCAGGAAGGGATTAAAACGCAGAGACTGTACTGAGAAGATGTTCCTGCTAAAGTCTGTATCAGCCATGGAAACAAGAAAGAGGAAATGTGGAAGCAGAAGGAGAGTGTTACAGAATGAAAGAAAAAGGGGAAATTGCACAGGAGTTTTCAGCTGCTTTAACTCGTCTGGCAGTTTTCCATCAATGACTTTCACTCCGGGGAGGAAGAGAGATTGGAGCCCGAGATAAAAACTGCTGGCTGTGATTCCTTCAATGAGCAAGCAAGTCCTGCAAGGTCATTGTGATCAGGCAGAGAGGCTGAGGGACAGGGAGGTAGAGAGACAGAGAGACAGGGAGAAAGAGAGAAAGAGAGAAAGAGAGGCAGAGAGACAGGGAGGCAGAGAGACAGGGAGGCAAAGAAGCAGAGAGACAGAGAGAAAGAGAGACAGAGAGACAGGGAGGCAGAGAGGCAGAGAGACAGGGAGGCAGGAGACAGGGAGGCAGAGAGAGCAGAGAGACAGGGAGACAGAGAGGCAGAGAGGCAGAGAGACAGGGAGGCAGAGAGGCTGAGAGACAGGGAGACAGAGAGGCAGAGAGACAGGGAGACAGGGAGGCAGAGAGACAGAGAGACAGAGAGACAGGGAGACAGAGAGGCAGAGAGACAGAGAGACAGGGAGGCAGAGAGACAGGGAGACAGAGAGGCAGAGAGACAGAGAGACAGGGAGACAGAGAGACAGAGAGGCAGAGAGGCAGAGAGACAGGGAGGCAGAGAGGCAGAGAGACAGGGAGGCAGGGAGGCAGAGAGACAGGGAGGCAGAGAGGCAGAGAGACAGAGAGACAGGGAGGCAGAGAGGCAGAGAGACAGAGAGACAGGGAGAAAGAGAGACAGAGAGACAGAGAGACAGGGAGGCTGAGAGACAGAGAGGCAGAGAGGCAGGGAGACAGAGAGACAGGGAGGCAGGGAGACAGAGAGACAGAGAGACAGAGAGGCAGGGAGGCAGGGAGGCAGGGAGACAGGGAGACAGGGAGACAGGGAGGCAGGGAGACAGAGACAGGGAGACAGAGAGGCAGAGAGACAGAGAGACAGAGAGGCAGAGAGACAGAGAGACAGAGAGACAGGGAGGCAGAGAGGCAGA